AGTCCCACAGTAGTACTTTCTGTCCGGCCACGAGTACATTATATAATAATACACCATACATTTAATCTGTGACACGTCAATATTACGAGTGAACGTGGCAACAATCAAGCGCACAAAATGATTTAAAAGAAACAAACCACACGATCCTGCAGCTTTAATGATGATCTTTAATTCAAAGAAACAATTCAGTGATAAAATCTTAAATCATAAGTGACTTAACAGTAATTTCTCTCCTGTGGTTCTTTTCTGTAACTTTTTGTTTTGGTGATTAATCCTTTTTTTGTTTAGCAAAAATCCCTTCACCCTTTTAAAAATCTGCTCCTTAAAACTAAAAGTTACAAGTTAAAACTCTTAAATGACATCAGCTCATGTGTGTTTACCTGGTTTCACGTCGTCCTTTCACTTTGTTTTGGTCTGTTTTTCTGACCTGATTCTGCTCTTCATCATTCACAGCGATCAAACTTCTCCATTCGACCCACAAATTTTTATAACCAGCAGCAGATTATTCAAAGAACGCGAAGAGTCGACTGCATAAAATGTGCTGATGAGGTTTATTTGTAATCAATAACCGCTTCACAGCGGCTCTTCTCCGCTCCTTCTTAGAACCCTTTTCTAAACAGACAGATCTCAGGCCTCCGTGTGTCTATGGCCTTTAGATCCGCTTCATCTCTGTGCGTGTGCGTGCGTGTACACACACACACACACACACACACACAGTCATGTGATTAAACTCTTCTGTACGGATTTAATAACCTTTCCTGCGGTCTTGAACTTCTCATGTTTAGTTTTTTTTAAGTATTAAACTCTCATCTGGATTATTTCAGCACTAAAGCAGCTTTTCATTCAGACTCGCCTGCAGAGTTGAAGCTGCACTCGGATCAGTTTTTAGCCCCGGCTCACTGCCCCCCCCCCTCTCACCCCCCCACACAGATGCCCAGCGGGCCCTGCGGCTGCTGGAGGAGTACCGGACCAAGCTGCACCACGGCGAGGACCAGCAGCTCCGCGTCTCCATCCAGAGGGTCATCGACATCTTCCAGAGCAACCTGTTCCAGGCCCTGATCGGTACGAAGGCCCCTTCAGGGACTCTGCTCCTCTGGCTCAGTCCTATTGTGACGGCACCTTTAAGAGAAACTCTATTCACAAGGCACCATATCCTAAAAACCAGCTAATCATCTCCATGTTTATGTAATAACTAAAAAGAATCACACATTTAGAAGATCATTATGGCAGTATGGTCTTCTGAAGACTGAATCTTACAAGTAATGAGTAATCACTTTAGAAACCGTTTTAATTAATGTTATTTTAAGCACAAATCTACACACATTTCACCTGGTGGAAGATGATGAACGTGATGAACCAGCGACTCTTCCTGTCGGCCACTTTGCTCTCAACTCTCCATCTGACGTGTTTGAAGACCCACAAATGTCCCACATTTAGCAGGACGTTTTCAAACCACGGTCTGTTGGGGACACAGTGGTGGTCCTCTGCAGACTGTGCGGGGGAGATGTTGAGATGGAAGTAGCTTAGCCTAGCAGCTCGCTTAGCCTAGCAGTGCGTAAAGGGGTCCGCTTGCACAGTTCTCCGCTGTACGTCTCGCTCTTCCCGATCTAACGGACAGCAGCTAGCGGCGGTTTTGCGTTCCTGCGTTAACATATTTTATCGCATTAATCTCTGCCGCATTAATCGCATAGATTAACACGTTAATGTGGACAGCCCCAATAATATAACCTGTGAAGTCAAAGCTGCATTCTCTGCCGGGACCACAAGGGGGCGACTCTGCTCCCATTGAAATCCATGAGAAAATGACAACGGTTGATCATCATTTTATTGACACTCAAGTGATGCGAGGCGCCTGCAGCTGGTCGGGTGTAATCCCTCCAGGGACACGACGATTACCTCGAGTCCATAATCCCCCCTGAGAGACCGGCTCGGTCTCCTACTCTCGTCTCTGAGTGGCCTGATTCCTCTTTGAGAAATACATTTTAAAGGGTCAAAGGTCAGATAATGGTTTAAAGAATTTCCTCCGTAAATGTTCTTAAAACCAAAAAGTCTTCAAATGTCTGAAGCCTGACGCGATGAAACAGCAAAGACATTCAGGCTCCCCAGGGGATGAATCCTGTTGCCTTTGCAGCGAAGGAGGTCCCGTAGAACCAGAACCGAGGGGTCCGACTGCGAGACCCTTCAGTCCACAGGGGGCGCCGTTACCAGCACCTAACGCAACGAATGCTTCATCACGCAGTATGTTTGTTAGGCGTAAATACGTTTGGTCGTTACGCTGTCTGACTGTAATGTGATTTACTGTGATGTCTGAAGGTCAGAAATAACAAGTTTGCATTTTGGTCTTTAAACTGTGTGTCAAGTACATATACTGAAGTACCACTATTTTCATGTACTTGTACATTTTACTTTAAATCTTTTAGTCAACTACGTCTCACAGGGAAATGTTGTTTTAACTTCACGAGATTTATTCATTATGAGTCACTAGTTATACCTAATAAATCATCAGTGTATTCGTTTAATAATCTGGAAAGTACTATATCTCCTGAATACAATAATGTACATGAATCAATAACTATAATACAATACTCATTGTATTATCTCATTAGTCACTTTGCGTAAAGATACTTTGACTTTTTTTTCCAATAGTTTTACTTCAGACGTAAAACGTTGGTTTATTTCTTCGTTACGGAGGAACGCGGCAGAAGTCCAAAGAATTCCCAGTAAGATAAAAGCAAAACATAAATAATAAAACGCACTTGGTCACGTCCGACCTCCACGGTTCCTCTGCTGACCACGAAGCTCCTGTGACCCACAGGTCAACCGCGGCCTCTTCAAGCGGGTAAAAATAGGCCTCACTAGACTGAAACAGTCAGGCAGCAGAGTTGATATTTTTAGTTTCCACGTTTTAAGCTATTTTCAGGCTTCAGAGGGTTTGGACAGAAACATCAGTGAGAAATCTGATTCGATTGATTCATCAGGTTCATGAGACGTACGACGGGTTTCTGCAGCGGCTCCTCCACACGCGCTGGGCTTTTATTGTGAAAGGAGGATTCATCCTGATGAGAAGTCATGTGTGTTTAAAGGAGAGGGCTGTCAAAAAGGATCATTTAAGAAAACACATATATTGGGTATTCTGGTTGCGCGTTAAGCGTCAATAACAGGACAAATGTACACGAGACAGAACTACTTGTACAGGTAATTTATTGAGCAACATGATACCTACACAAAGATAAGTAAAGACCTCATTCAGTGGTTCAAACTAATATTAACATGCACTGAAGTTTTACAGCTGTGCTGGTGAACATGGAACTTTTCATTGGCGTGAAACGGCAAATGATCAAAGCCGTGCATGAAGCTGTTGTAGCCGATCTGGTCTATTTTATTCATGTAATATAGGGTTGGTGCTAAAATGTTGATTGTGATTAGTACTTGAATCCAAAAGCACCGCTAGATGTTTACATAGTTTTTTTTCTGCCAAATAATATAAAGGGTTTTGATTTGTTTGAAATGTGACCGACTAAAATAACAGATCAAGTGACCTCCGTCTCGTCCTCTCAGATATCCAGGAGTTCTACGAAGTGACCTTATTGGACAGCCATAAGTGGGCGGAGTCATCCAAGGCGGCAGACCCCATGGCGCCCGTCCACCTGTGGGACTTCTCCAGCCTGCAAAGCACCACGGTGACCTCCGACACGCTGCCCAGCCTCAGCACCAGCATCGAGGTAAGGCCCCGCCCACACGTCACAGCAGCGCGCGTTCTCGTCACAGCGTGGTGGATTATTGGTTGATTCAGATTAATACTTCACTAATCTGGGGAATCGCAAGTATTAACAGATCTGCTGTTTAAACTTGTAAACTTTGCTGTCGCCATCTTGGTTTTACTTGCAACCAGAAGTGACAGGAGAGGGCGGAGCTAAGTACCACCAAAGGCATTTCCAGCCAACCCAAATGTTGCATGGGGATGAAGATGCACCGTGACCGCGTTAAAGAGAGAGATGGACGACAATGTTGTCAGAAGTTTATCTTGGCATCATTTTAGAGGTTAATATGTAAATGAAGGATCGGTTGATCATTTTAAGCATATTGATTCACTCTGGTTTGTCACATTTTGGTTTTGGTCTCAGATGAATGGTGAGAAGCAGAACTGGTGAGAACACAATCGGAACCGGCAGTGATCACTTTGAGATCCTGAAATCAAACACGGCGATCAGCACCAGAGGTCTTAATGATCCCAGATCCGTTTCATGGGATCAACCAGAAACTAGAGTAATCTGATTTTTGGGATTCTGGTATTCTGTGGAAACGTCGGCAAACATCTGGTGTGTGGAACAAGAAAATCTATTGGATCTATTTAATCTAACCGGGCCACGGTAATCCCATCAGGGATTCTCATTTACCTGATGCTGTGTGGAGGATTATTAATATCCTGTAAAAAGACGATCAAAAGGAGAGCTCCTTTTTTTAACCGTTCATCTGAAGCGCTGCTTTGGTTGTTTTCTTTTGCAATGTGGAAGTAAGACAGGAAGTAGGGGACAATAAACACTACTGTGTACAAAACAAAGGGCTCCACGTTTCTCTCCAGAAACTGTTTTAAAGGTTTACCTTTGAATGCATCATGACGTCCTTACGATCGACCGGGTCGTCCTCTCACGTTAGCGGCGCACAATCCAACGGGACAGAAACCGACATCGTCAAAGTCGTTCTAGATATTTGAAGGTTTTCCGACTCGTCTATTGCCTGGTCTCCCACGTGGTCTATTGCCTGGTCTCCCACGTGGTCTATTGCCTGGTCTATTGCCTGGTCTCCCACGTGGTCTATTGCCTGGTCTCCCACGTGGTCTATTGCCTGGTCTCCCACGTGGTCTATTGCCTGGTCTCCCACGTGGTCTATTGCCTGGTCTCCCACGTGGTCTATTGCCTGGTCTCCCACGTGGTCTATTGCCTGGTCTCCCACGTGGTCTATTACCTGGTGTATTGCCTGGTCTCCCACGTGGTCTGTTACCTGGTGTATTGCTTGGTCTCCCATGTGGTCTGTTACCTGGTGTATTGCTTGGTCTACCATGTGGTCTATTACCTGGTGTATTACCTGGTCTATTTCCTGGTCTCCCACGTGGTCTATTTCCTGGTCTCCCACGTGGTCTATTGCCTGGTCTACCACGTGGTCGGTTACCTGGTCTATTGCCTGGTCTCCCACGTGGTCTATTGCCTGGTCTCCCACGTGGTCTATTGCCTGGTCTCCCACGTGGTCTATTACCTGGTGTATTGCCTGGTCTCCCACGTGGTCTGTTACCTGGTGTATTGCTTGGTCTCCCATGTGGTCTGTTACCTGGTGTATTGCTTGGTCTACCATGTGGTCTATTACCTGGTGTATTACCTGGTCTATTTCCTGGTCTCCCACGTGGTCTATTTCCTGGTCTCCCACGTGGTCTATTGCCTGGTCTACCACGTGGTCGGTTACCTGGTCTATTGCCTGGTCTCCCACGTGGTCTATTGCCTGGTCTCCCACGTGGTCTATTGCCTGGTCTCCCACGTGGTCTATTTCCTGGTCTCCCACGTGGTCTATTGCCTGGTCTACCACGTGGTCGGTTACCTGGTCTCCCACGTGGTCTATTGCCTGGTCTCCCACGTGGTGTATTGCCTGGTCTCCCATGTGGTCTGTTACCTGGTGTATTTACCCTGGTTGCATGTGGTCTATTGCCTGGTCTACCATGTGGTCTGTTACCTGGTCTATTTCCTGGTCTCCCATGTGGTCTATTGCCTAGTGTATTGCCTGGTCTATTTCCTGGTCTCCCACGTGGTCTATTGCCTGGTCTACCATGTGGTCTGTTACCTGGTCTATTGCCTGGTCTCCCATGTGGTCTATTGCCTAGTGTATTGCCTGGTGTATTGTCTGGTCTCACATGTGGTCTGTTGCCTGGTGTATTGCCTGGTCTCACATGTGGTCTGTTGCCTGGTGTATTGCCTGGTCTCCCATGTGGTCTATTACCTGGTTTATTACCTGGTCTATTGCCTGGTCTCCCGCGTGGTGCCTGTTTGAGTCGCTATCTGTCTGCCCGTGTTCTCCACCTTCCATTACGGTCTGTGCAGTAACGAGGAAACTGTCGAGGAAAAGTTTGTTTAACCATTTTCTTCACAGCCACTGGTGGTCTCCTGTAACTCCACCCGTCTGGCACCGACACAGGCTGGAAACAAACGCGCCCGCTGTGAGCTGGCTGTGTCCTTTTGCATTGAACTTCTTCTCTCTCTTCCCTCTTCTTCTCTGCGTGTACACAAACATGGTCGCTTGTAGGACTCCCCCCTCCTAAATGAAATCCTGCACACGTTGGCACAAACCAAGCGCCCCCCCGGCCATGACGGACAAGTAAGTACTGGACGCCTGTTGGTGGTGTCGGTGTATCGTCCACCCTCGCTGCATGTCCCATCCAGTCCTCGTGTGCTTTTGGACCATCGGAGGGGGTGGAGGAGGAGGGCCGGGGTTAGAGGTCAGTTTTGGCCCCCAAAGGCCTCAATGTGTCGCTGTAGGCCATTCACGTGGATACGGAGTCTGAAACCAGAGGGGGGACACGAGGAAGCAGCCAGTGGAACATTATCTTCAATGTATTAAGACATCTGCATAAATAAAAGATCAGAGCAAATTCAGAGTTTCCTTTTAGTGTTTTTTGAGTTGAAACAAAGCATCAGACCATTATTGAATAAACAAAGATAACTGACAGGTCAAGGGTCACCTCCTGCAGGGTAAGGCCTTTAAAACGTTAATGGTAAAGTAAGAATGTAAGAATAAAAGTTGCGTTAACGGGAGGAAAGAACCCAGAGGAGCAAAGTGTATTTGTCTCTTCTGTTTCTGCGGCAATCAGCTGCTCGTCCCTCCTCTGGTTTATGAACCGGCTCCCGATGTCGATCAGCTGGAACCACAGCGGCATGTTGAGGGTCTGTGCTGCGTTCAGAGGCCGTGGGTCATTGTGCTTCTTTGTTCTGGATCATGTTGTCGGGTGTGAACAGTACACCTCCTGTCCTCGGATACCTGCCTAGTTTACTTTGGTCCAACTTCACACAAACAGATTCCCCATCAGTTCATTGTAAAAACAGCAGGTGTTGAACCTCTAATGATAAAGATAAATATATCATCTCGCTTTGTTACATCACATGAACCCTTTCTGCTTCAGTTCTTAGTCAATCCCTGTCGCCCTCGTCCTAAAAAGGATTTACGAGTGATGTAAGTAGTAAATTCGAGTGTACGGCCTGGGTATCTCCATGGCGACTAACAGTAATAGAATAACATGACTGTAAATGGAACATAACGTATACGATGTTAGTGTATTAATGAAAATGTATTCAATCAAAAATGGGACATGGTGCACAGTAAGCGGATGTCCACCAGACTTGAGTCATGTGTCCATGAGCATAAATATAAAATTTGGGGGTCTTTTTGTGAACACAGCGCCCCTGCCGGCAATCAGTTTCCATTCAGGCGGCGAGCGGTACTGCAGCACAAAATACAACAAAATTAGACTTTCTTAACCAATTAATTATTTTTTGGGAATTGACAAACATAATAGTTTGTCCACTGTTGACTCCCGTTCACGGCGTCCTCAGAGGGGCTGGAGCTGTACTGATCATCAGGATCTTCGTGGTGGCGGTTCATGGTGACGTGTTTTTATGTGCCGGCTGCGATTGTGAGTCTCCTCAGGTTCTTTGTGTTTGCATATTTTCATCGTGTGTTGAGCAGAAACAAGTGAGTATGTGACAGAGTTGTGACGAGAGATCTGGTGTATTTGTACCGTTTAGAGGATGTTTTCTTTGTAGTAAAAACATCATCATCCACCTGGTCTGTGTGTACGTAGACTTCATGACATACTGAAGCTACTGAGACGCACGGTGGTTGGTTTACTGCAGCTGTGTGAACCCAAAATATTATTATTATAACAGATTAAAATGATGCAGAAAGAACTATGCTAATAAAGAAAAAAAGCTTGTGCTTCATCGGGTCTTCGTCCCTTTTAAAACGCTTGAATGGAGTCTGGTTTGATCGGTGCTAAGCTAACATTGTAGCATCAACACTCCACGTCACAGGGGAGTAAATACTGCAGTTGTTTTTTGTACCAAATGGGTCATTATACACACACGTGTTCACATGGTTCCTGCTGCTGTCTATGGCGTCCGTTCACGTCTCCTCCTCTTCAGGAATTAGGAGCATTTATTGCCAAAGTATATTAAAATACGAGGAATTTGACCTGGTGATTGCTGCATTGGACAGTAAGACAATGAGACAATGGACAAGACAAATACCACAGTGCAGGGACAATTGCGTGATCCATTTACACTCTAAATATATAGTATAGAATAGAATATAACCCAGAGGGATGAAGAATAGACTTTCTTTAGTGCGTGAGGAGCTGCAGTGAACTGAAAGACCAGCAGGGGGAGCTACAGGACGGCTGTGAAGAAACAACACACACATTCAGAGAAAGTTCTACTTCTAGTCGTGAACAACAATGTATTAACTGAAATAAGTTATAATTACTGAACTACTTTCAGGTCGAAAATGATTGATTCAGTTCTTGAATAGTTTTGAATTAAAATTAGTATTTCCTTCTTCACTTATATATTTGAGGTCCTATATTTTTCAAGTAGCGCAGGTCATGTACTTCTGCTTAGCGAGCTCTTTTGGGCTCTATACAAATCGCACAATTATAACAATAATCTACACCAAATTGTAACGTTCAACAGCCATGCTGGATCCCCAAAGTTTCCACTTAGCACGGTGCGATCAGGTGAATGTGGTGCATATTATATTCTATTATATAGCATTATAACCCCATCAAACACACACGGTAATGAGCCATAAGCATCTACCAACATGGAGATTTTTGAATTCGGACGCATTTGGAACAGCTAAAGCTAAAGCAACTTGAACCTTGGTGGTGGTTTGTCTCCTGCTTTATGGTCTATTAGAGACCTGTCAATCATGTGTAGCCCCGCCCTAAAGTGTCCCCTGCTTCATGGTCTGTTTGACTCTAAATGGACCATCATTCACTAAATGAACATCATCTGTATTGAAGAAGACTTTAAACTAGAATCTGAGACCATCTGAGGAGTCGCCCCCTGCTGGTCACTACAGAGAAGTAGAGTCATTTCCTCATAGACGTCTATGGGAGCAAAGGAGTCGCCCCCTGCTGGTCACTACAGAGATGTAGAGTCATTTCCTTATAGACGTGTATGGGAGCAGAGGAGTCGCCCCGTGCTGGTCACTACAGAGAGAGAGAGTCATTTCCTCATAGATGTCTATGGGAGCAGAGGAGTCGCCCCCTGCTGGTCACTACAGAGAAGTAGTCATATCTTCATAGAGGTGTATGGGAGCAGAGGAGTCGCCCCCTGCTGGTCACTACAGAGAAGTAGAGTCATTTCCTCATAGACGTCTATGGGAGCAGAGGAGTCGCCCCCTGCTGGTCACTACAGAGAAGTAGAGTCATTTCCTCATAGACGTCTATGGGAGCAGAGGAGTCGCCCCCTGCTGGTCACTACAGAGAAGTAGAGTCATTTCCTCATAGACGTCTATGGGAGCAGAGGAGTCGCCCCCTGCTGGTCACTACAGAGAAGTAGAGTCATTTCCTCATAGACGTCTATGGGAGCAGAGGAGTCGCCCCCTGCTGGTCACTACAGAGAAGTAGAGTCATTTCCTCATAGACGTCTATGGGAGCAGAGGAGTCGCCCCCTGCTGGTCACTACAGAGAATGCAGACAGAGTTGCTAGAATGTTGGTGTTAAGAATAACAACTTTAAGGACAGATTAAGTTTGTTCCTCCTTTATCAAGTTGAATGTATTTTATTTTAGGGCGTCCTAAAAACATCTGGCTGAGGACAGCAGATGGAAATGAGCCTCTCCGGCTCACTTGTAGTACACCTGCAAAATAAATGAATAAAATACATTTTGGAGTTCTAACATAATTCATCCACTTGAAGTCGCTCCTCCTTTTCTTTCTTTCTTTGTTTCTCCTCCTTTATTCCTTTCTTTCCTTCATCTTGTCTTCCTCTCCCCCCCATCACGGACTCTGTCCTACATCACTCTACCTTCCCTGAGGATGTCCCTCCCCCTTCCCGCCTCTCGTTTCTGATGAGTCATGTGACCAACATCCCCTCTCCCCGGAAACCAATCACACCCCCACTGAGGGAATCTCTCTCCCTCACACGGAGGGAGAGAGCGAGGGAGAGAGAGGCTCAGTGAAGAGGAGGAGGAGGAGGGGGGGAGGTGCTCTGGGAGTCGTTTCCTCCCCTCTGCGATGGAGCGACGTGAGGAATGAGGGTGGATGGTGAGAGCAGGGAGCAGCAGCAGCAGTGGAGAGGGCGGAGGTGCTGGGGGCGGAGGCGCGGGGGGGGTCGGGCGGTGCGGGGGGAGCCGGCAGCGCTCCCGGAGGAGGCGGCGGCTGTCGGCCAACTGCTCCGACAAGATGTCCCCCGGCTCCAAGAAGCTGGAGTGCTTCTCGCCCATGCTGTGCCACTGCAAGGCGGCCTGCACCGGCAGCACCGTCTCCCTCATGTTCGGCTGCAAGGTGGGTGGACACGTCTGCACGTGGACGGGGGGGTCGAGGTGTCCCGCTGCGTTGGGAGTCCAGATGTTGATGAAAATGTCTCATTCGCGGTTGGTTTACGGAGTCGCTGATCAGCTGCTTTCAAAACATCAGAAAATAATTTAGAGCATTTTTCATTCTTGTAGTTTGACTTTTTTAAATGAAAAAACTTTAACTCTGCGTCAATGTTTTGGTTCCCGTAATGGATCTCAATCTCTTCTTCATCATAAGCAGCATAAATGATTTGTATTTATTTCCAATGACGTGATTGTTTCATTTACATCCAGGAGATCAGACCTTTAAACATGACGAATGACTCGAATCATTTCTATTAAAAGCTGAATACTGAGAATCAACAGAATTCCCTCTGAGTGACGGATGAGACGTGAACACTGAGCAGGAACCCGGAGCACAGAATCCCTGACGGTGTTTACGCGTTAGGCCCCGCCCACCTCGTCCGTCGCCTCCCTCTGCCTCAGTGACCACCCGCCAACCGGAGGCTCTGATTGGCCGAGCGTTGGAGGCCACCCAGCACGCACGTGCCTCAGTGGTCAACATGTGCTGAGCAGGGAAACGCCACTGAAGAAACCACACACACACACACACACACACACACACACACACACAGGCCTCCGGTCGGAGGAGGTGTAGTTCTGGTTCTGGTGTTGAAGTGGACTACCGGGTTCTGCTGGACGGCCTTCACATGAACCGAGTTGAACATCCTGAGGTTCACGTGTGTTCAGCTCTGACGCCTCATCAATGTTGGATTATATCAGCTGCTTCACAAGGATTCACAGTATTTAATCTCCCCAAACCCTTTGGACGGGTCTGAAGCCAGTAGACCATCAAATACTAAATGTTGTACTTTCTTTACACATTTTTATTTTAGTACAAACCACGAAGATGATCAAATAAAACATTAATCATCACAATTAATGAAGCGTTCAACACCATGATTCATCTCTAATATTTATCTTATATGTGAAAACATCTGCATTTATTCAATTTAAAACTACACTTTACAGATTACCCGTGAACACATCATCATAAGGTGATATGTTCTCATGTTCACAGCAGAGCCTGAACGCATCACAGTGTAACTGAAGGCCGTTAGCGGTGCTGCTAACGCTACTAGCTCAACTCCTGGTCATCTGAACACTGATTGGTTGTTTACAAAGTCACATGATCGGAGACCAGACTAGAAAGACATCCGTGATGTCACTGAAAGAGTCCGAATGAGACGACTAGACGTGACTACAACACGTGTCCTCCTTCAGACCGCGTGTGTAGCTGACGTGACGTCATGTGACCGAGGTGGAGTTCCTCAACTTAGCTTTTTACTTTCCACCACAAAGGTCAGAGTTGATTAGTGAACTAAATCTGGAAGAATAATAAAGTGTTTGCTTTATGTACTAATGAGACAAATGTGATTGGCTACTCGTGATGACTTCCTGTTTGCTACATACATCTGTACAGCTGTGTGTTTGATAACATTCTTCATCACAGCCCTCAATCATGCATGAACCTCCCTCCGGAACACGCTACGTCCTCTCCGCGCCGACGCTGCTATTAATAGCAGCGTTTGGCAGGCGAGAGTCGGCACTGTGCCGCCTCCTCCTCCTCCTCCTCCTCCCCGTCACTGGGAGAGCTGTTGAGGAGAAGGGGGGGGGATGCGCTCCTCCTCCTCTTCGTCACTGGGAGAGCTGTTGAAGAGGAGGAGGGGGATGCGCTCCTCCTCCTCCTCTTCATCACTGGGAGAGCTGTTGAAGAGGAGGAGAAGGGGGGGGGATGCGCTCCTCATCCTCCTCCTCCCCGTCACTGGGAGAGCTGTTGAAGAGGAGGAGGGGGATGCGCTCCTCCTCCTCTTCGTCACTGGGAGAGCTGTTGAAGAGGAGGAGGGGGATGCGCTCCTCCTCCTCTTCGTCACTGGGAGAGCT